CCTGGGCACGGCAGGGACACCCTGGGCACAAACCCCCTGGGCTGCCTCCCCTGCCCACTCAGCTCTGCCCCAGGGCTGGGGACAGGGGACAGGAGAGGTTTGGGCTCTGGGCTCTGCAGCTCTGCTCTCTTCACTGTGTGTGTAAATCACTGCGTGCACAGCACCACACACAAAGCCTCCGACTGCAGATGATAATAAATTGGGAAGCACCATAAATAACAGCAAACCAGGCTGCCAAAGGAAGGATTTAGGTCACTCAAATCCCAGGCTATGAGTTGCCAAATGGAGTTTAATACTGATAAGTGTGGGGCAATAACTCACCACAGCCTCCTCCCTCATCCCCCACTGGAGCCCTCGGGGGAGTGGGGGCTCTGCCAGGGGGATGGGGAGGGGGCCCTGACTGGGAGCAAACCAATGGCTCAATGGCCACTCCTGGCTCTGCCTGCCCGCCACGGAGAAAGCAAGTGGGACAACAACGGGTCCCGTAACTGAGGACAAAACCTACATCTGAAACCACCCAGAGTGAAGAAAAGCAAAGAGGCAATGAAAAATTAGGAGGCTTGTGGAGGAACTGTCTGGTAATGGGAGAGACAGAGCACAAATCCACCCATCAATCCCCTGTGGAGTTCTCAGTGCATCCCACCTTCTCTGCATCCCACCATGCCACAGCAGGAGATGGACCCTGAGCTCAGAAAGGGGTTTTGAGAAGGCCACAAACATTAAAATTACAACTGGCTAACGCAGCCCAATCCTCAGCCTCTCAAGGAGGACTCCCAGGTCTGACCCTCAGTGACAGGCTGTGGGTCTTGCTTTGCCCAGAAAATGGTGAGACTCTACATTTCACTGTTTAAAAGAGACCTCTTTGGTCCCTTTCTGTCTGCTTCTCTTAAATCAAACAGAAAACGGGCTAGCAAAGTGTTTGCTCTGAGAGGCACGCAGCGTCAGCGCTGAGGAATCCCCTCCATGGCAGGGTGTCTGTCTGTGCACTCTGGTGGGAGCTGTGTCCCCACCAAGGCCCAGGCTGGACACT